GGTTATTTACGTATAGAATCCAAAGTTTTGTGGAAGTGTTCTATGTTAGTATACTTGGAGTCACAGACTACTGGATGAGGTTTGAGTGGGGCAGTTTTCACGTACATGGACTAGCTTGGTTACCCAATGCTCCTAAATTTAAAAACCTCTCATCATCTTCTGATCTTGTGGAGTCAACAAAAGAAAAGATTACTGAGTACGCTAACAGGACAATTTCTACCATAATCCTGTTTTCCTTCCTGATGGCAATAATGTCAGTGATGCTCCACCAGCAAAGGTTGATCCACAAATCTGCAATAAGTCTTGTTTTTAAGTAACTGATATTGATAATTTTTGGTCCAATTGCGACCTGCCAACGACACATTCACTGTTCAGAGTCCTACTGCCTATGTACACGTAATGGCAAGCAGGAGTGTCAGTTTGGATATCCTAAAGATCTTCAGGCACAGAACACCACCAACATCATTGAAGAGGAGCCTGTAATATGTAATACTCACTACACGTAATGATGGAATGCTCGACAGCTTTAATCCCATTTAACTAACATTCTGGCGTCGACATGCAGTACATTGTATCAAGGAACAGGGTGGTTCAGTACTGCACCTAGTATGTCACCAAGAGTGAGACATGATTGCAGTCTTTAAGGGATACTTTTGCCAACATTGCTCATTCTCTCAAAGAAGGCAAAAAATCAAAGATGTTCAGAAGCTTCTCATCAACAGTTTTGGAAAGAAAGAGTACTCAGCACAGGAAACGTGTCACCTTCTATTGGAGCTCCCTTTGTATAAGGCATCAAGGAGTTTTTTTACTCTTAGTCTTCATGGCTCTAGATGTGTTGAAAACACTGTACAAGAGAGGGAGATGGGGCGAAAGCTCATTCTGTATTGGATCACTATATGTTGCGTCCAACTATTCCATAGTTAATACCATCACTATTCTTGACTTCACTTGTCAGTACACCATGCCAAAAGAGCTTGGTGATGAACCAAAAAAGAGTAAAGAAATGATTGTCACTTCTAGACCTTACTGTTCACGTGATCCATCTGGCACCAACTATGAGCAGTATTGTTGCCAGTCTCTGATAAAGTGCAAGCCATTCAGAGATATCAGCGAACTCAAGTCTACCAATGATGCCTTCACTGAAGCCTATGCTGAATTCCTCCAGTCTTGAAACGTTCCAAGATCACTAGAACAGGATATATTCAGACTGCAGCAACACCAGTCATCATCAGATGCTGTTGAAGATAAAGATGTATGTTAACAATATAATGTATTATTTAGTTGTTAAAAGTTTAAGGCCTTTTCACACCGGCACAGTTTTCAAAGCGCTTTGATGCGCTTTGTTGATACAGCTGTAATAAATGCGCATTGATCGTGTTCACACTAGCAGCTGAATTATGTATCATTTTGTGTTCTTGTTGCCATTGGTTTACATTGATCGAAGCACATCACTTCACATCAATCCACCTCTGGAGGTGAAGTGAGACTGATGCACATTGATGCACATCAATTGAAAACTACTCTAGTGTGAACACAACTAATGTGGATCAATGCGCATTACTTGTGCCAGTGTGAAAAGGCCTTTAAATACACATGTATAATATATGAACTTGAAAAATATGCATTGAAAAAACCTTACTGCTTCAATTACATGTACATGTATGGTATGTGTTGTAATAACTTCATGTTTATATAGGACAAATACCAAGAAGAACAGCAACAGAACCAGTAACCAAGAGCTCAAAAGGAATAGATGTTAATCTGCGAAAGAACCAGTGAACTTGAGCCAGTCAACACTACTGAGGAGGAGTATGATTGGGCAGAAGCAGTACAATCCTATCCTGATATTGATAATGCTCCCCATTTCATTGCTCAAGGAAGACAAAATACCATACCCACTCCAATTACCATCTCTGCTAGCCCTGACAAACTTAAGGGAAGACAGTTGGATGTATATACCATGGTCAAGCAACAGTTTTGGAGTAACTGTGAAGAACCACTCCACATCAGCATCAATGGTACAGCTGGTACTGGTAAATCCTATCTTACAAACTGCTTGAGGTTGTTGTTGGGTGGTAGTGTCAGCACCAACTAGAGTGGCATCTTTTATCATTGAAGGAAGGACACTACATAGTCTCCTACAATTACCAGTGAGAGGTGACTCTAAGGAAATGTAAGGAAGCAATCTCCAAAAGACCAAGATGAAATGTCATGTACCAAATACCTCATCATTGATGAGATGTCAATGGTGGGGAGGAAGACCTTTGGTATGATTGACTGTAGACTGAGGCAAGCATTTTATGGAAAGTCACAAATTGTTTTTGGTGGGTGCTCAATTTTATTGTTTGGAGATTTTGGACAGTTACCACCAGTGATGGACCTTCCCATTTATACTACAGTCACACAATCAGACCTATCAAACCAGGGGTATAAAGCACACAGTCAGTTTGAGACAGCATTTACTCTAACCCAAGTAATGAGGCAATCTGGACAAGATCGTGATCAGATCAGATTTCATGACATTCTAATGCATCTCAGGAATGGACATACAACGGAAGACTGGAACCACCTCATGGATCAAACACCAAGTAGAGTACAAGACAAGTCTCCATATGTAAATGCTCTTCAATGTTCCCTACAGTTGAAGCTGTTGTTGATCACAATGTTGCTATGTTACGTGAGTGTGGTCATCCTATTGCTACTATCAAGGCAGTACACACTGAAGCCAATGCAGCGAAAGCTCCATCTGATGATGCTGGTGGCATGGAACCAGTTGTGATGCTAGCAAAATCAGCAAGAGTGATGCTACCTAGCAACTTGTGGGTTGAAGTGGGATTAGTTAATGAAGCAATGGGAACAGTTGAAGCTATCTGTTACAAAGAAACCACACCTCATATACCAGTGGCTGTGATGGTATGGTTTGATCGTTACACAGCACCAACTGTACATGATGCAACAGTACAAATCACTCCAGTATGCCATAATTGGTCTCCTTCAGGTTGTCAATGTTTACGCCTTCAACTACCACTCAAGGGAAGTGACAATCCACAAGTCCCAAGGACTCACTCAGGATAAAGCCGTCATTAATGAAGGGAAAAAGGAGTTCTCTTGTGAAGTGACATTTGTTGCTTGCTCCAAAGTAAGGAAGTTGAAGGATATTCTGTTTATGCCACCATTTCCTCTTCAATCACTCAAGAGCATTGCTAATAGTAAACGTCTTCAGAAGAGGAAAGAAAATTACACTTGCTTTGTCTTCAACAGCTGAACCATCTTTTGAAAACATACCACTATCAGTATCTGATCAAGAAACATCTCACATGGAGTGGATGACACTTTTCTAACATCAGCTTCATCCCTACAACCTTTAGGCAGTGGCGGATCTAGGGGGGCCATGGGGGGCAATGCCCCCCAAAAATTCTATACTGACCATCCCACTCATAATCAGTTATAATTGTTATTATAATGCATAATAATATACACCCACCACTGTAATAACATGCACAATGCATGCTTACAACTTAAGCCAACCCATAAACCACATTTTTTACACCTGACACTATAACAATGGCCTCAAAGTCTTATAAGTCTAACACTGTTTGGTTGTTCTAGTAAGTAGATATATACCATAATGTTAAAAAGGTCATCTATATGCCATTTAATTAGGTAATAGTAGAAGTAAGAATTCTGTTCAGAGTTCTAGTGGTAGTAATGGATCTTTGCCAACACCTTGTGCTCATCATAGTGACTCCATTGATATCGAAAGCATTGATTCCATTGATATTGATGAACCAGTAGTTGATGTATCATCTCAGGAGATTCATCATAAGTGGGACATTGTCAAATTTTACAGCTGCTCCTCCTGATATAGCTCATGGTATAGATCAGAAGCCAGTCCAGCCACACAATGCCACTTTTCCAAAGGAGAATGGTAGATCATTCAATGCATCTTGGTTTGGTAAGCATACCTGGTTAGAATATTCTATCTCAAAAGATGCAGTCTACTGTTATGCTTGCCGTTTCTTTTCTACTGGTGTCCAGAGAGATGATGAGTGCTTTGTATCAACTGGGTATAGGTATTGGAAGACAGCTACAGGAATGAGTGGTCGGATGAGAAAGCACACTTTATCAAATAGACACATCAATGCAGTAGCAGCTTGAAGTGAGTACTTGCTTGCTCAATGGTCTCAAACCTCCATAACATCTACTTTGAGTCAGGCTCGTAGAGAGCAAGTCCAACATAACAGACACTATTTAAAGACCATTGTTGAGGTTTTGATGTACTGTGCCACACATGAGAAAGCACTTCGTGTTCACAGGGTAGGAGCTGATTCGAGGAAAAAAGTGAATTTCCTGGGCCTCATTGACATGATTAGCAATCATGATAATGTAGTGAAGAAAAAGCTTCAACATGGTCCAAGAAATGCTGCAAACACATCCCACAGTGTTCAGCATGATCTACTGAAACTTCTTGGTAACAATGTGGCAAGCATCATTTGCAATAGTGTGAGGGAAGCAAGGTTCTAAGCATTGTTGTTGATGAATTGAGGGATTGCTCAAAGCAGGAGCAAATGTCATTTGTACTCTGCTTTGTCAATGATGGATCTGTACATGAGCATTTTCTTACGTTTCTTCATGCTAAAAAGTTGGATGCTGAAAGCCTATCGTCATACTTCAAACAGCTCATTTCTACATATGATTTAGATCTGAATAAGATGGTGAGCCAGGGTTATAATGGAGCCAGTGTAATGAGTGGTCACTGTAAAGGTGTACAAACCAGAGTGAGAGAGTTTGCTCTTTATGCAACTTAAATTCACTGCTATGCCCATGTTCTAAACCTAGTTTTGGCTGATTAGGTTAAGTCTGTCAAACCTGCATCCGAGTTTTTAACACTTCTGGAAGCATTGTACATTTTTGTATCCTCTTCAAACATTCATGTATTGTTCATGGCCAAACAGAGTCAGTGTAGACCAAATGAGCCAGACCTGAAGTTATAAAAACAATCAGACACCCGTTGGGTTTGTAGATATGCAGCCGTTAATGCTGTATGTCGCAAATACGACTCTCTCATTCTCACAGTAGAAGAGGTAGCTGATTCATCAGTCAATGAATACTCATGGGCCATTGAAGCACGTGGGTTACTTCATCAGATTAAATCTTTCTCCTTTCTTCTCCCTCCAATTATGTTTGACAGAGTACTTACAGCAACGAAACGGTTGTCTGATAATCTAGAGAGTAGCAACATCAATCTGCCTTGTGCTACTTAGCTTGTGGTAGCTACTAAAAGTGTACATATGGACTATCGGTCTGATACATACTAGGATAAGGTTTATAACGATGCTACTCGATTAGCTGAGAACCATGATATCTCAAGTCAAGTACCCACAAGACGTAGGACAGTTACACCAGCTAGACTATATGATAGCAATGTATATGAGACACTAGGCCAAGAACAAACTAGGAACTCACTGCCAAAGCAAGAGTTTAAAACTCAGTTTTACAATCCAGTCCTAGAAAAAGTTTCTGTGTGAGTTAATGAGATTTGAAGTCCACAATAATATCGACGTTCAGAAAGGAATAGCAGCTTGCACTCCAAAATTGTCCAATTTTCTCTCCATTGATGATCTCACTTCTTTCACTGAGATGCATGGAGTACGGCCAGGAAATGATCTGAAGACTGAAGTAGAACTGGTGAAGAGACTCTCTGAAACATCCTCAATGGACATTTTAGCTTCCTTCAGATGTTACCGCTTATCATTTAAACCAGCATATAGCACACTCTCTAAGCTGGCACAAATTGCCATGAAAATAGCAGTCACCAGTTCTGAAAGTGAACACTCTTTTTCAGCTTTGAAGAGGATCAAACTTGTCTGAGAAGTACTATGGGCCAGGAACGTCTGTCAGCATTAGCTATCTTGTCTATTGAAGGAGAAATAGGTCAAGAGCTACATCATGAAGCCATCATTGATCAGTTTGCCTCATCTGTTAAGAATAGGCGCATTGTCCTCTCTTAGTAAAAAATTGTCACAACAGTGACCAAAACCTAATCTCCTTTATCCATAACCACACCTTAATTGCTTTATAACCACTCCTTCATTGCAAAGGAACCACACCTTTTCATTCATGAGCATATTTATTAATTAAAACCACATCTTTAATTATTGTGCCCCCCAGAAAAAGAATCCTAGATCTGCCACTACCTGTAGGTAGTGAAGAAGACATGGAGTGGATGACACCTTCTCCACCAACACCATCTCCACCATCATCACCTCATCAATAGGAAGGAGCAAAGAATAATAGATCAAAGAAATGGATCACAACTTCAGTGTAACTTTAAAAAAATACGTGTAATAATTATAATTTTAGCAATTAATTAATCAAGATACATATGCATATATTCACTCTTCCATCTTGTGTATCAATGAATAATGCTTTTTTTGTAGTCATTAGTGGCTTAGTATTTACTGTATATATGTATATTATCTGTATGTATCCATTATTTTTAGTTTAACATGACCATCAGCTTAAAGTTGTCATCACAAGACAACTTTGGAAACAAGTTTAAAAGCTGGTACTAGAGGTTTAAGGCTGTTCAGTGTTGCAAGTGAGGTTAAGAAGATAAGATCAGAAGAGACAAAGACTCAAGAAGAAGACAAGAAAGAAGACCCACAGCCACTGCAAGTGAGCTAGGTTGGCTGATTACTGATTGCCATACACACTTTGGGTGGTAGCTATTCAGTTTGGAGCTGACTCTGCTTGGTGTTGAGATGAAGAAGAACACAGTCCTACATTCCTGTTCAATGTTGCAAGTTAAGTGAGCCTTACTTCATGGCTTGATGGGCCAACACGCTGTGGGTGGTGTCTATTTAGTTGCATTGTGGATGCTGCTTTGCTGGTAGCCTTGTTCAGTTCTGTGGAGCTATAGTTGTCCCAGGCCTTGGGCACTATAGAGACAGACATGTAGAGCTGTTCAGCACTACAGAGCTAGTTGCCCTACGGACTTGGGGGACTAGATAAAGACTCGTACCTCTAGTACCAGCAAAATCTTATTTGCCCTTTTAAAGGTAACTTCTGTTTTACTGCATGTGTTTGACTTTATGGATTTTTTTTTTCTGTAGGCGGGTGGTGGTGTGGGGGCCAGCTAAGCAGTGGCACCTATTCGTGATGGTGCTGCCATCACACTGTATATCAGTGTGCAAGACCACTGCACTTGCATAAACATTAACCTGTATAAATTATGATCATGTCATCATTTTATTTTTATATTGTTCTCACTTTTAAATTCCACAAACTATTATTAATTGTGAAATATCTTAACAACATTATGGTTGGTCACTGATGTGTATGCATGCATTCAGTCAGTAGACTTCTTCCTTTTTCTAATTTCTTGCTTAAAGAAGAAGGTGCGGTATAAAAGGCGGTGCCCTGGGCATGGTGGTTTCCGTTTTTATACACATGCAAAAATGTCTACTGCTGATTGTGTTGGTTCTTTGAAGAAACGTGCTAGAAGAGAGGGTTTTCGGTTCCAAATGGAGCTGAATTTTGGTCAAAAGGAAGACAAGGATCATTTTATAGCTAGGCTTGATAGAGTTAAGGGTTCTTTGGCTACTAAGTGGAGACGACCTATTGACAACTTGGAACTGCTGTCTCACTTGCTCGATCTAGCTGAATAGGAGGGCTCTGGGGTTAAGTCTCATGATACAAGTAGTTCTTCTGCTATGCTGAATACTTCAGGTAGTTATGTTGTGTTTAAATTATTGATGATATTATATAAGGTATATACACTGGTGATGGGGATGAAGGCAGCCATTGTTTGTGAGTCAAGTATCTGCTTTTGAGGATTTGGTTTTGGTACTGAAACGTTGGTGTACATGTGGCATGATCGACCGAAAGATGATCAGTTACAGGCAGGTATCTTAAGAGTATTATTTCCTAATTTATT